CTATAGAACTCAGTGTTATGAAAGGTCTGTCGTCAAACTGTTCGCTAGTTTGTTCGCATCTTCTGTTTTTACAATATCAAATCCACTTATCTATCCCAAGATGTGCAGTTCATTTTTGAATACTGTAATAATCTGCCAACCGCTCTCATACTACTCACACGATGTGAGGAGCACCTCAACACATGGATCAACTATTTTTATCCTAATTTCTCGTTGAGGAAAGCATTTTCACTACAGCAGGTAGGATATTGAATAAACCCTGGATAAAACTGACAAGATGAGATCTTTGGAAAATTTTCTTGGAGTGCAAACAAGTCATTGTCTACCCTTAGAGGTGCTGGAGCCTTTATATACAGTAAATGTCCCAGAGTCAGTTTCTTAAAAAATTGATTTCTTCCGGATTGACCCTTGTTCACAAGTACGTGGTGGGTGACAAGGATGTTCCGGTCTTTGATTTGTTACATAAAACTACCCTAAAACTATCAAAACTAGATACGTACCCGTGAACATCAAGAGGAATAGGTATATGCCTACCTCCCATGCATACCGTAATGCTAGATAAATATTATTGATGAACCTACTGTTTTTGGTTGGATCAATGTAGAGGTTTTCGCAGAGCACTGGTTCTATCGGAAGTTTTAGAACAGTAAATTTTAGCTACCACAAACCAGAATTATACAAGAATTTTATCTTGTCACGGATAATTTTTTCAAGCGCTGGTTGCTGATTTGTAGGAGACAGACCACAACGTGTACAGAAAATGAAAAAAGTCACAATTTAGTTTCGCGTGTAGTTGCAATACAGACATTTGCGTAAGACATTCGTAGCTTGGGGAAATCTTCAAGTTACCCTTTAAGAAAAACCGGTTGAACTGGTTCAACCTTAACCGAGCTGTTGTGAAGGAAGTACATTTGAGATAAAATCATTTCATGCTTGCATTAAAGCTATGAGTCTTATAAGGTGTTATAGTATGAGTTGGTATAAATTAAAAAATGTCTTTATTGTCAACTTCCGTTTACGATCGGCAGTCAGCTGGTAGTGTCATCAAAATGTCGGCTAACATAAAGTTTGCGAATCAATTAATTATTTTATCTTTAACATGCTTTTTAGCTAGAAGCTTTAAATAAAGTTTAGTTTGAACGTTTATAGTAGTCTGGGGCTTGGATACTGTTTCATGATTATGTGCTGATATTTGATTCTCTTTTTACTGTTGTCCAATCACTGACTATTCAACTTCGGATCGGATCGAATCGAATCGAATCACTCGAGCGTGCATGAAAGCGAGCAAATAGAGTTGCCCGACCGGTGTGTATTATTCATTTTGTTGTTAGAAATTTGGTCGGTCACACTGATTTCATTTACACGCCACTACTTAACCTAAGGAGTTGATTCGGCTCGCTGACCGATTTCAACTTCACTGTTCCAGCTTGACTCCTACGCGCACGCCAATGGGTTGCGATCTCCGATTGGAACAATTTTTACGTGGACTGTATGAATGTGTGTGAGACACGTGCACACAAACACACACACGATGTTGTATAGGTCGCAATTACAAGAGCCATATATCGAACCAAACATCGTGTAATCGACCCTCGTTTCAATACGCGTACTCGTAGTCACATACTGCATGACTGACTGACTGAGTGAGTGAGAAAGGACTGATAAAATACCGAACTTTGTACCCATCTCCTCTATCCAGTCGATACTTAGACCACAATAGTTCGCTCCATTCAGTGACACTCGACCGAATGTGTGAATGTGCGTCTGCATGTATGTGGGTGGGTATGCGTGTGTGTCTGCGCATGATCCTTTCTCCTTTTGGTTTTACTATGCTTGTTCACGCGTTTCAATGCACCCTGTCCAGACCCAGTGATCCTTTATTTGTCTCTCTTTCTATTTCGTGTCAATGGCAATAAGTGGTTACTTTTCCCACGAAAGGTTGTTATAGATGGGCATGGAAAATGTTTAAAATTTCAGTCTTGGCGTGATTGTTCCGAGGTGAGGTTAACAGAGGGAAACGATTGTTTTTAAGGAAAACCGTCAGAACTAGTTTGGTTTTAGGGTGTACTTGCAAGATAAAGTTAGTACAACCCCACAGGTCGCCTCAGTAACCCGATACTTTGACTTTGCGGTTGTTTTCATTGCGGAAAAAGGTTATGATTGAGCACAATTCACTGTTGCATAATAGGCAGTAACTGAAGCGTTTATCGGTCATTGTGAGGCTTGTGTTTATCAAAAGCAAAGGGATATTTTCCCCCTTTATTCTTAAGTCAATTCGCACGGAATAATCATATTGCACTCGGCGCGTTCCAAAATCCTATTTGTGACACCTATTACTTTGCCTCGGTTTACCGGAATCACTTCTAACCATTGGGATATCACTTAGGCGCTTGATTGCCTTTTAGTTGATGTTTCAAAGCAACCAATCTTGTGTTCTCAGGCAAACCTGGTTCGGCCATTCCGATGGTCATTGTCTTACGTATTAAAGATAGGTCTCCGTGTGAACGTTTTTATCGCTGTTATATAATCCCTAAACAATGGCTTGAAATCATGGCTACGGGTCACATTTTAGCTTTTCAAAACGGATTTTAAAACCCTACATGTTCTTCAATGAAATGTTCGTAGCTGCTTGGATGTTTTTTTATTATCGGGAAACCATTCACACTGTACTTCTTTGAGGTCACACTCTGCACCTTATTAGAGTGGACATGTGGCGTTTACAGAGCAATACCATTGCCTACCTTGCATTCTCTCATTTTGGTTAGTAAAACATCCACAGTTATTTACACTGATACATTACAAACTGGAAGTATTTGTTTAACGGAATGAATAACTACTCTTGTATGTTAGTGTTTGAGCTTAGTTATTCATCAAGATGGATGGTTCAAAAGGACGATTAACTTGTGGTAATAATTAGCTGTGAATAGGCTTTGTAAGCGAAACCCTGTTACCACCTCTTAGTTCAACCATTAGCGAGAGGACTCAATGCGCACTGGACGTTAATCAAAGAAATTATCCATATGTCGATCAAAACAACGGCGGATTCTGGCACACAAACGGTGGATCTCTTCGACCCCTGCTGCTTTGCTGGACACAAAACCACTCCTCCGAATGTCAAATTTACCACCGCGCGCAACTCCCTAAAAAATCAACTCATTAAGAACCAGAAGAATGACCGCGAGAAGTGATAGGTAGCAAAATGCAGAGACATGGAGAGGGCTGCAACTGTTGTTAACTGTATTTCTGTCGTATTTGGAATACAAGCTCAAAGAAAGTAGGTGTGAGTGAGGTAATTAAAAAATCCGATTGCACATTGGTCCATATTCAGCAACATCGCCTTGACCGATGGGCTGAACATTTTAGGGCTCATTTCAGCTGGCCCTCATCGACATTAGACCTATCAACCTCCATCTTGACTGAGTAAATACTCCCAATTGATAAAACTTGTCCATCTGAAATGGGGCTTTCAGTGAAATAAGCATCTCAAGATGCGTAAGGTCTCCCCATCGGTTTTTAAGGATGGAGGTTCAGTGTTGGTCTTGGAGTTAACGAATCTCCTGGCTTTAATATGGGATAGGGAACAATTTTCAACTAGTTGGTGTGATTCGGTCATCTTTCCAAGTTATATGAAAGACGACAGGTCCTCTTGTGAATGCCACAGAGGAATTAGATTGAACAACATTGTTTCTAATCTTCTAGCTGACATTATTTCCGTCGTTTCTCCGCCACATGTAAACGGTGTACGCTTGAGAACCAGCCTGGTTTTAGACGTGCTCGAAATTGTAGGGACCATATTTTCACCCCTAGCCAAATTATGGAACACCAACAATCTTTTCGCAGACCCACCATTTCCATCGTTCCCGATCTGAAAGCGGCCTTCGACTCAGTCGATCGCTCTAAACTGTGGCGCTGCCTTTCCCTGATTTGTGTCCGAAAAATTTATTTCAACATTCCCATCCCTTTATACTAATCGTTGAGTCAGAGCTTACAGCACTTTTTCACCCGAGTTCAGCTTAGAAAGTGGTATTCGTCAGGGTTAGCCTCTGTTTTCTCTTGAGCTTTCTATAGATTTGATCATAAAAATAGCGCTGTCCTCGTGCGAGGATAGTGGCATCGATTTGCTCCCAGGTGGTAGTCTGTCTGATCTGGGGTATGCAGACGACATTGTATTGCTAAATATTGCTAACATAAGTTTTGCACCTTCAAAGGGTCAAATGTTGTTACAAGACTGAGTCATCTACCGGGTAGCATATAATTAATCAAAAGGGGTAAGACATAGAATTCTGTGCACAACAAAAGCGACCGCGATCAGGCTAAACCAACGAATACCGTGTTCGCAAAAGCAGTTTGTCCAGACCCTACTGCTACTTTGACCTAAGGCCAGTAAGATTGTGAAACAGACACCAGTTTGACTCATCCTTGACTGACCCATCCGGACACAGTCCTTAACATCAACCATCACGATAACTGTATGAGTACTTACACTACGGATTATCACACTACGTTGTGTTTACGATTCCGACTGTGTACTGTATTGGCCTGATGAGAAGTACCGAAAAGACAGATCTGTCTTTGCCACTTTCAGACTTCTCTCACAAGACTGGGTTGGTCCAACACTGAGCAAGTGGATAGTTTGTTATTTGGGCAGCTATATCTCACCTGGCGTTTGCGTCACCGATGAACTGAGAGAGAGAGAGCTCGGTTGACATTTACCAGGTTGAAACATCTGTAGCACCGTCGCGATATCCGGTTTTCTGTGTAGGGTTGAGTATATGCTGCGGCAGTTAAGTCAGTTCTGGTATACGGCACAGAAACTTGGCCAGGATAAAAATAGAATGTCGGTGTTTGAACACCGCTGTCTGCGCAGCATTGCAGAAATCTGGCGGAGTAACCGAACGAGCAATGCTGAGGTTAGACCCAGAGTTTCAGGTAATTCTGGTCGCCCACTGAAGCAAGTGGTCGACCTCCATAGATTGCGTTTGTTGGGACATGTGTTACGCATGTCACCAAATAGGTTGCCACGACGAGCCATGGTTACCGAGGTGGGTACTGAGTGGAAAGAGTTAAGAGTAGCCAAACTACAACCTGGTAAGAGGGTAAGGAACCCCTGACCAGGAAACTTGCTCATATTGGTTACGTTCACCTCCCTGGATGGGAACCTCGGGATCATTGTGATCGATGGTGGAGGACATTGGTTGACACTGTCGAGCGTCGGAAACAGTGGCGCTCGTGTGTTTCAATTTCTTCTCAAGCTCAGTTTACCGGGATTCTCCGTTTTCCCTTCGACATTGCTTTCAGTATGCCAATCTTACTTCTATTCCTTCATCTGAATGGGCAACCAAGTCAAACCAAACCCGCCCCACGTACAAACTGAAACCGAAACGGGGGTCGCGCTATCGATCGGCCTGCTACTTAGATTGCGTTAGGTCACGGACCATCAAATGTTCCAGGATTTATGTTTCAACCGCTGAACAGTGGGATCGTCCGATTATCTGGTTCATTCCGTCTACTGTCGATCGCACTGATGCGTAATAAAAGCAGACAAATAACTCTACCTAACAAGTCATCGCTTTGGCTTTTTGAACGTTTCCTCAACCTTGAACAGTTTCAATGTTCCTTTGAAACTAACATTGGGGTTATAAGGCATTTCAAATTCTGAATTCATTGTTTTTCCATAGCTAACACTTAGGTGTAGTAGAGCTTAGTAAAGTATATTATCACTTAGTTCATTCTTTTGGTTTTCCTATTGTGGTAGAGCATATTGTGATTGACTGCGTCTATGAAACCCGCTCTGAAATGAATCGGGAAGGAAAAGGGTATCAATCGTATTCTGCTCTTCTTGGCTTTTCTTTCCGCAGATATCATACAGTTAAGGTAAATTTAATGGAATATAGAAATGCTATCATTACTGTAGGTGATGTTACACCGATACGTGGATCCTTTTTAAACACAATGCAATGCACTTGGTGCATGTTTGCTCCTGTTGGAGACCAATCTCCCCTGTTTCATTTTTGTCTGTCTAGCTCTGTTACTCTGTTTTGCTTTCACATCCATCCTTTCTTATTTTTGATCGATGCAATTTGCTTTTCAGACTACCCTGGTCTCTGAACCAATGTGTCCCATCCCACGCTTGTGGCTGACTAGTAGCAATGATCGGTTCTGTCCCTCGCTCTGCTGCTCACGCTGTTGATTGGTTCTTGCAAAACCGGTCAACGGATGAAAATTGCATTGAGAGGCAGGCGTACTGATTAACAGCGACAACGACAGCAACACCAACAATAACGGTTACAAGCACAATCATCTCAGCGGAGGAAGCTGCGACTGTGCTACCATCAGCACTATCATTCTCCACCTCGTTCGCGTTAAAGCCCTCAACAACTCCACTGTTGCCATTACCTATGCGTATGCACATGCATGTGGTGTGCCAGACCGAAGCTAAACCGTTCCACACGTATTGCGAACCAGTCGTGTGTTCAATCCCATTCGCGACAGGCATCCTATGTTGTCCCGTCGGACCAAACCGTGACTCTGTGTCTATCAATAACCTCTCGCTCGTCGCCATGTGGCTCAGACGAGCGAGAATACCCCCTCCAAATCTCACATGAGACCCACACGATTGGCGCATGGACATGTCCGTCACCATGTGAACCGAACCGTACCAAGTCTATACAATCGTACCCTCAACCAGTCAACTTCCTCACTCATCCGTGCCGGTCCATTTTCCCGATTCGTTTGTTCGGGACACAGGAGTTTGGTAATGTGATCAAGTGGTCCCGTGCCATACAGCTGCTGGAACGAATTCGACGCATTGGTCTAGTTTTACTTCGTATTCTGTTCACGTGTTGGATCATTCTGTCGCGTTTGTACCATGAAACAGAACTTACAATCATCCTTCCCTCTTTATTGTGCGGTATTTCCCACAACCCAAGTTCACACCGTTTCTTGGCTGTTTCACGTTGCGTATGGACTTACTGTATTCTGTTGCCACTGTTATTTGTGACCGTTGCAACCGCTAGTAGCACAACAGACTGGGCACCATCACAGTCTTTTTCAGTGAAGTCCGATCCAGTATTAATTGGAGTAACAGATAGAACTTTGCGATCCACTGTCCAACTTTCCGCTCCTGTATTTGATGATGTTGGCCGCAACGAGTTATCCCCACGTTTGAATGGGATAAACGCTATCAGGCGACCTCTCGATGAGGGGTCTCGTCTCGGTCTGCGACGAATCGATCGGGCCGTAGTAGCAGAGACCAACGTAGCTCCCCGAATAACCAGTGCCACTACCGCTGCTTTTAACTCTGCACCGGCTCAGGCCACACACGACAGCCTTGTGTCCTCGGATTCGCCGCACCTACCCCTCGTGTTCATCCTGGTCGTTGTCATAGTCTGTGTGGCTATATTTATTATTCTATTGGTAAGTTTCCGATTTATACGTAGAGTATGAACAGGAGATTCTAAATGGCGTTTTTGTAACCGCACTGTCATTCTCTGTGTGATTTTATTAGGTTTCGGCTTCCCAGGATGATACACGAACATCACCCCAGTCTCTACGGTTCGGATCCAAGGTTCATTGGTCTGATTTGCTCGTGGTATGTGTAATTCCCGGATCAGGTCGGGATCAATATACTTTGAACCTACAAAGTCCAAATGAAAATACCCTAACTCCGTTAAACTAATCCGATCAACTTTATAGTCATAAATGAAGTTCAAGACTTCGGCTGGCAATCCAGAAAGACCAAGATTTGTGTCTTATCGGGATGTTGGAAACCACCAGCCACCGCCGATCAGTCTCAATTCCGGTGGAATAGCTTTTCAGTGCCATTTTTGTCTCACAATGGTTTTCTTCGCAAATAAAATTGTATGCTATCTGCTAAATAAGTCATCCATTTTTTACCAGGTCCTCTAGATAATTCCTCATAAACTTTGAACTAAGTGTTTTTCTCACCTAATTCAACCGGCTAAGTTGTGTGACGTTTATAGACGTAGCTGGGTTATAAACACTGAATAGACTCACCACTTGATCACTCCCCTTCAACAACAACAACAACAACAATAAATACCTTGTAATTTGTTTCTGCATATTACACATTATGTTCTGCTTTGCCCCCACATTTCTCTATACCGTGACAACAAGGCGAACAAATATTTGAAACACTGGGTCCCCTTTATTCATCACATCAAGACCGAAAGCAGATACATGTCGCAAGACAGTAGCATTTTTTTTACTCTTCCCAATCACTGACGTAAAACAAACAGGCACACATGTAAACATTGGTTTGGTAAAACCTAGTGAACGAACGTGTACAGATGGACAGAGACCAATACAATTAAAAAGACAAAAGAGGTTAACTCCACGGCAAGTGAACTGTTTGAGCACACAAAATGGGATGATGTAATCTAACTAATAATGCCTCATTATTTTCAAAACAGGTTTGTATTGTGGTTACGTAATGACGGTTTGAAAGAGGAAGCGGAATGAATTGTGTTCGGTTAACATTAGGTGTTTTACAGTGGATGATCCTCGATTCCTTGTGTCCGTCTGATTATCGTGCTTGGGTTGCATCATCGACCCCACGAACCACTTTGGATTATGTTTGGCTATTCGTTGTGATGATGGACGATATTTTTATTGTTACAGAGAGTGAACATTTTGAAAGAATTTAGCTCTGTTCATCCGCATCTCTCCGTATCACACGAAGAGGAAACCAATGATTCCTTAGCATCTTTGGAAATTATAATTATGAGGCGTTTAGATGGTGCTTCACAACGTTCTTTTCATCGAAAAGCAACATAAAGCGGTCAGTATCTGCAGTTATCTAACATCTAGCCATTTGCTTACAGACGTGAAGTTGTAGAAACTCTGTTCCATCGAGCCAGAAAAAATGTGTTCCCCAGAAACACTGCAAGAAAAGGGGTTCCTGAAGAAAACGTCATTGAAAAATGGTGATCCAAAAATACTCATTGAAATCCTTTGTAAAAAGTCTCTAAGAGATAGCCCATCTCTGACGGTTCCCCATAAAGCGGCCTACATCAAATTATCTTTCAAGGGTGATCATCCATCTTATGAGCTTATGAAAATGCGTCGTTAATAGTTGTAAAAACTGAACTGAACCTTATGAACAATGTGCGTCAAAAGTGAAACTCAGCTGTGAACCGCACATTTCCAGCTGCTCAACTTCGCCGCATTGCCTCTACCCGTAGAATGGATTTGGACAAACGTACAAACGTAGTTGGTGGCTTATTCTTTCTCACACACTGCATACCAGTTCACTTGCAATCGTGGTGACGTATATATGAGTACAACCAACCGTTTTTTAAATTTTACTAACCTCTGTCCATCTGTGCACGTTCGTTAACTACGATATACCAACCCAGTGTGCTATACGTATGNTGCCTGTTTGTTTTACGTCAGCATCGAGAAGAGTCAACGAAATGTTAACATCTTGCGACATGTCTCTTCTTTTGATCTTGATGTAACGAATATTTATTCAGACTCTTCAGTATTAGAAATGGTACTTTTCTTCTCGCTGCTTCACATGCACGAGGACTTATCCAATCCATTGTTCACTTGTGATGCCAGCATATTCCAGCCACACTGGATCGGAAATATCTGTCGAAATGAACTTTCACAGTTTCACGTTTAGGAATCGGGTTGTTGTGTTAGCATTTTCACTCGGCCTCTCATTTCACCGCAAGTTGCTCACTGTCCGTGTGAAGTTTTTCAATTCGACCTCGCACTGCATCTGGTTTTCTTTTTGCTCGAACAGCGCACATTCCTCCCACAGGTCAGCAACTAGAATTGCCCACGCACAGTGTGTTGGGACAGCGAGAGGAACACACTGCCTTATGACTTTGGTTGAGCGGTAAACGGTTTGGATGATTTTCTTCGGCTGTGCCTTTGGAAAATGTTCCACTCTTATAGGCTTGCGTGAGTGTGTCGTGCAATGCCCGTGCACTGTGTTTGGATAGAACGCGTAAAAATATTTACTACCTGAGAATTCGCGCTTAAATTTTGTTTTCAGTACCAACGGGTTAGATAGTTTGCAATTCACTGGTCAATGAATGGGCACTAGAATAACCCTCATACTTGGCCGGATGACTGTCATATGAATTTTTGGTTATTCTGTTCTGGGTTAACGCTATGACGGTCAGACGTGGTGCGTTTTGGAGCATATTGACCGAAAATTCGTTTTCACCACAAATACAGTTGCAGCACATGTCATTCATTAGGATACTTGAACGAATCAAGCTGTGGTCAGTGAAGTTCGTATCACCGGGATCCACCGTTCAACACTGTCGTTGGTAATGTTCCTAATAATCCTGTAACGGAGCGATAAAAATATTCGTCCTGTTGTACTTACTTATTTCAACACACACACACACACACTATATATATATATATATATTATGTATAATTGTCGTAAAGATACCTCCTGGGTACTAGTATACTAACGGACTATCAAACGATTGCCCGGTACGAATGCCTGAGGAGCGGCAAAAACAGCGAAACCAGTTGTGGGTTTCCAGGGCGATTTCGTTCAGTCATTTATATACCACTTATTGGAAAATATTCTCTCAAGACACTTGGGTCACGTGTGTTATAGTTAATACCATCTAACCTGTATTCGCAACATCGAATCATACTAATGGACTGGTTCCGAAACGCTTACACGAACAAATTTACCTGGTGTTGCAAATGCGATGCATGTGTCAAATATCTATATATACCATTACCTCTGACTTCAAGGAAAATTTTGAACAATCTAGTAGGCTTTGTGATGATGATGAAGATGATACAACTGCGGAACAATTAGCCATCCTGTGGAAATAATGCACTCCGAATGCTCATCGATTAGGATACTCTAATTTGCACACGACCATCGATTGTAAAAAACGCGCTCTTCCTACACTAGGCTTATCCACTTCAAGTCCCTAAGTAAAGGTTTCTGGTTCCCGTAACCGAGCCTTGGCCCTGAGATTAACCATTTTTGTACGAGTTGTGCTGTACATGCAATAAACAGCGAACGTTCAACCAATTTTGTTCTAGACTCTTGACTGTAACCACCCATATTCACGGTGCTTCCTATCCTAACCGTTCAGGACTGATCGGATCAGTTTTCGTGTCACTTCCTTTTTTGAGAACCCGCTCAAGGTCGCCTTCACTTTCTGGGAAACAAAACTCGTTTCTTTTTCCATAAATCTGCGTCGCTAAAGAGAATAGCCTAAGCTGATTCTTAACTGTATGAATAAGGCAAACTTGTCTGCATAGCAGACAAAATTGCTGTGCTCACGGATGGTGCAGGGATGGTATACCACCGTTTTCTGAAGAACTGTGCGAATAACCTTGTTTGTCAGTTGCTCTCTCGTGTAACAACTCGACACCGCAATTATGATGAGCAAAATAATCCACATAAAACAACTTAATCCCTCAGGTTCTTTGGAGCTTCATTGTGCCAACATCGATGACCTAACGTATAGCTTTTCTTTCGGTGATCCCAGGTTTGACAGAGTCTGGAAACGTTTTATTGGACTTTTCTGCATTTTTTTTATAGTTTCATCATCATTATGATTTTGCCAAACTGAACTTATCCCGATGCTATTCGAGGTGCCTCGAAGATTTAAAATACACTCTTAAGCTCACTCCCATCATTCTGATGAAGACATTTGCAAATCAAAGGTTATTAAATATACACTGTGGTTCTTGTTTCGTGCATGCAAATATCATTAGACTACCACTTTCATGAAAACAGGTTTTCAACTGCTACTTATTATTTCCAATCGGTACTCAAACAGATGTTTCTCGGAGACCTTTTGGTAATTGAAATTTTCCATGTTTATTCCCGACTGCATTTAACTGCTTTGGGTGGGTTTATCCTGGTTGTTTTGGTCTTCAATAGACAAAATCTATATATTTCTTGTATTATTGAGAGCGACAAATCGAATGTGTATGGTTACACCTTCCGCACGAAAACGTAACTGTTTTATGCAAGTTTCTAATCCAATTGTGCTGTATGGCTGAATGATAACAGACTTGAGAGAGAAGCGGTCTGCTTCGGAAAGTGTGCAATTCACTAATCCGCATCGCACAGTCACGATGCCCTGCATCACGGATCAGAGCTATCAACTAGTTCAGAGAAAACGATTATTAGACCCAGTTTTGAGAGGTCAATCAAACGATAAATATCTGATTATGAGGAGTAGTTCACCTCAATTTCCTTTCTCTTTCGAGCTAATAGTAGATAAATTATTATCACAAACCAACCAAATGCTGATCCTTCTTGACTGGTAACACATAGATGCGTCGGGACACGGGTAGCCAAAAACCAAATGTAACTTGTTCGACAGTAGCCTGTTAAAAGGTGAGGCGCTGCGCCGGTAAAGATCACGCGGTTTTCTACTTCGGTTTCAAAAAAAACCATGTGTGGCCTTATCCATTCAAGTTTTTATGTTACAGTATATGGTTCAATCAAGATGTTGACGATGCGACCGTTGGTGATTTCAATCTAGCAATATAGAGTAGTTTGAGCCATCACATACTACCACTCTCATCCATCTTTCCAGCACTTCCATATTTCCCTGCCCAGTTCTC